ATGATGAGTGGTGTATATGATGAGTGGTGTATGATAAGTGGTGTATGATGAGTGGTGTATGATGAGTGGTGTATTGTTGAGTGGTGTATTGTTGAGTGGTGTATGATGAGTGGTGTATTGATGAGTGGTGTATGAGCAGTTTGAAAGTCCGTAACACGGAAGTTTCGTACACTAAACTTCCTTTGATGACCAATTGAAAACCAATGAACTCCACTTTGCATATCGCCAGCTTAGTCATTGAATAATGGCCGGGGGGGATTGGTGGACCAAGAACTAAAAGATTTGCTGCCTTGAAAACAGAAGTGACGTTCCAGCCTCTCATCCGTTTCGGCTTCAAACTGAGGGTGACCTTGTGAGGTCGATGGACGCGCAAAAGGACTCAGGTCAAAAAAGACTTGAGACACACACACACACACACGGGCTTATCAATTCTGGTCCAGTCAACTTCAGGAATGACTCAGGTTTGAACCAGAAGAGTTTAGAACACAATCCGCTGGAGTTCTACTCCAACTTTTTCCAACATAGACCTGGCAAATACAGTCAGCTCATTCAAGACTTGACCATTCTCTCGGAGCGTCCATGGCATGGAGCAGCTTGAAGGGTATCCTTTGCCTGACTGGTTTGGGAAATTTGACCGGTCGCCTGGCTTTGTCAGGGCTTGATAGCATTTTGCCTTCTATGTGATCTGGCCATTTGCTGAGGGCTTTTAATGTAGTGGGAGATGGCGATGGGCAACTAGTAACAGCAACCATGCATCGATCAGGCTCCCGCAGTTGCAGCGGCATTGGTGCTAGCTCTTCCTTGCGGCGGAGTTTCTGGCATCAGTGCCTTTCTGCGCGAGTTGACCTTGGAGGTGCAGATCCCGTACTTCTTCGACCTGGATAGAAGCCTATATGGCCCGCTGCGTGCAATGCATGGTGCTGCTGCTGACAGCTTCGTCCTGGGGCCTCATGGACAGCTTGTCACTTGTTGACGCACATAAATGGGTAAAAACTTAGGCTTTGGTTCGATTATTGGCAGCCATGAAAGCACTGTCTGCTCCAATCGCGATGGCTAGCGATGGGCTCCAACCTTCGATCTTGCGATGACTCGCGATGGCGATGATGGCCTCCAAACTACTTTAGCGATGGCCTCCAACCTACTATAGGCTTCCAATCTATTAGCGATGGCGTCCAACCTACTAGCAATGGCCTCCAACCTACTTTACCGATGGCAGATGGCCCCCCAACAGCTTCCAACCTGACCACAGGAGATGTGACCAGATGTGATTACAAGAGCTGGCATCGAGTAGATGGCGTGATCTCCGGCCCACCTTGCCCACCACAATCGTCAATAGGTCCAGGTAAGCGTCGTCGAGAAGCAGACCCTCGCTGGACTATGTATGAGAGATTGTCATCGACCAAGGCTTCAAGGCCTGCTTTCTCGTGTTGCGCAATCCGGAGTGGGTATCAAGAGTTCAATCACATGTTTGCTGTTTCCCTCAGTGCCTGTTGATTGAGAAACGAGGGGGGTGAATAGCCAACATGAACGTTGGCCTTCTATTGGTTGCTTGCAGGGTGCCTATTTCTTCATCATCGAGATGGTTGTGGGCCACGATGATGCAGACCCGTCTGCATCTGAATCGCACTATGAGGCATGGCTGCAGTACTTGAGAGGAGCTGCGCCTATGTGGCGAGTTCAGTCCTGGATCCTTGGCTGTCTACAAAGTTGTTCTTCTTCGCACACCCCAATTCAACCTGAGAGCTCTTCTGAATCCAGGGTGTCCCCGTTTCTTGTTCAAGACAGCTTCGGAATAACAAAGAGCTTTTTCTGAATACCAAGAGCTTTTTGCGCAGATACTTGTGTGGGCAGCAAGGCGCTTGAACTCACGCGACTTTGCTGCGCCTCAGCATCGTCTCCATCTGCATACTGCTGGGGTGAACAGGTCTCACACATTGGAGGTGCCGCGACAGCCAACGCTTGATCTTCCATGCAGCCAGCCAACTTTCCTCAACATCTTGCACCCTGGGACTGCGACGATTGACTACCACCACCTCCCTGGGCGGATGCGCATGAACTTGGTGGCCTACAAGCTGACGCTCCGCAACGCTGGTCCCACATTGTGTGGCATATCCCTGGACCGAGATCCGCGGGCCGGGTTTGGGCCATACCTGTGCACTGATGGCTTGCGGACTGCAAACAGGTGGTCCCTCAGCTCACAGAGTTGACAAGCTTGATGGTTTTACGGCAGCCCCCAACCTACTAGCGATGGCCTCCAACCTAGTAGCGATGGCCTCATTTTTTGCAATGAGCTGATGGAACTTTGCGATTGCTTTTTACATGTTGGCTGGACTTGGTCTATGTGTATATATATAACTGTGATGAGGTACCACGCGACACACGTGTCTCAATCTGTTTGAGTCAGTCCAACCTGGTGAAATGATCGATTCAAACATGTCACCGTGGCTGGCTTAGCCAAATCTGGGAATACACCTCACGAGTGCCTTGGCTTGGGTGAGGATCGTTGGCCTCCAATGCACTAGCAATGGCACTTGCCCTGAGCTCATAGGAACTTCTTGCGTGCTGTGCCATGGCTCGCTCTTGGAACAGAGACCAGTGGTGGTCCGAGAGTGACGTGTGGGGTGGCTCTTGGGGCGGCCCGTGGTCATGGGATGATAACACCCACTGGTCGTCTTGGGGCGATCGCTATAATGAAGACCAGTGCTTTTGACTGCTTCAAGTTATGTGCCCACACAGCAGCAGCTCAGGAAAAGCTGAATGGGTCATTGCGATGGCAAGCGACGCAGAGCAGAGCTCGCTGTTGGAGTCCCTGGAGAAGCGCCTGCCAACGCACACTTGCCAGACGATGCTGAAGAGCTTTAGCCGCAGGTTTAGTGCAGAATGCTCCAACCTGCATTAGAGTGATTTTAGACCGGTTCCTTTGGCTGATGTGTACACATGAGTGTGTACATGTAAGGCTGATGGCAGCGGTGGCCAGAAGGCCGTGATGCTCAGTTTCAAGAAGACCTTGCCTCACAGAGCAGTGCGGCAGTTTGTCCAAAGGACATCCAAAGTGTCACCGTTGGAGATCATCGCGGCGTAGAGAAAAGGAAGCAGCCAAGAGTTTTCAAGAATTTCCCAGACTCTGGTAGGACTTCCCCGACAGGGTTCCACCACTTTGGGTTCCACCACCTTAGTCAACAATTGGCTTACTATATGTTTCTATGTATAATATATACTATAGAACACAACATGTTTTAAGTGTATTGCATATACATGTATATCTTCATTATATGCTACATTGCCAAAATAGAGAGGTGTGTCGAAGGGACATATGTATGTTCCCGAAACACCGTCCAATGATCTTGTGTTGTTTGCACCATGTGTCAAACCATTCGTCACGTGTCTGCTGCATATTTGGGAGGACCCCAGCGGAGCTTCACGGAAAAGAATACATCAAACAACAAAGACAATCAGAAGAATCGCCCACGAGCTCTGCACCGGCATATCGATCATATCAGATCAAATCATCCAGCACCAACCAAGGGCCGTCCTGGTACGAACCGGACTTCGACCCACCGGTTTCTCAACTCGCCTCGACTGGCAACCGCTTTGGAAAACTGAGGCGTTGGTTCCTGATCAGTGAGCCTCAAGCTGCCCGTGCCAAGGAGCACGGGTGGCTGTTTTTGCGGCGCTGGCTGACACCGGGAGTGGTGTGGGGTGGGGAGGTGTCCCGGACAGCTGTCAGCTCCAAAGATGGCAACCCGTTCCATCCCCACTTGGAGAAACTGTACAATGCAAGGTCTGATTGTTTTGCACTAGGGATTGCTGGGTTTCCAGCGACATCGACGTTCCGGGAGGCACATGGGCCGGTGCTCAAGGAGGCGCCCATTTTTTGCGTGACCCGCGACTGCGTAGAAGGCAGAATGGTAACAACAGCACAGACCTACTTGACCAAATTTGACCACCCCGTGTGCCACGGACGAACGAAACAACCATGTGACGCCAAGCCACGAGCCACGTGGCCCACAATGCACCACACGTAATTACACAGCAAAACGAACGCTGCCTGTTCAGCATTGGAGCCACAAAAATGCACGATTCCCCGAGGTGACCGGAACACCTGTCTCAGCGCGCTTTTGAAATGGCCTGCCCTGCCCTTCAAGCTGCTCAGAACTTTTTCCCGATTTCCTCCTCCAAGCCGACGGCTCGGGCATTGTGTGGTCAGGAGACGAAACCAACACTTTGGGACGACTCTGCGTCTCAATGATAGCAAGAGCCGACATGAAAGGATCTAAGAGGTGACCTCGCCTGTGCTGCCTGGTCTTGCAACTTGAGCTTTACTGCTGGTGAAGCCTGAACGAACATGTTCACACCATGGGGTTGGCCGATGGACTGGACTCGCAAGTTGGATTGACGTTGGATTGTTTATCCCTAAAAATTCAGTCGTACCTTATCAGCTACGGTGATGTGTTCGAGACTGTTGTGTTAAGTTTGGAGTCCCAACTTAACACAACAGTTTGGAGGGTTTTTGTGCTAACTGAACCCTGAGGTTCGATACGACTGCGGAGCCCCCCCGATGGGTGTGTGGTTTTCTCCGTTGATATGCTAGAGCTCGTAACCGCTCGTAGAGCTGGTTGCATGTAGGAGCTTCTACTCGGGTGAGTGACTCTCGTGCTGCCCCCAACCGTCTCAAGCAGACATGTCAGTAGTGCCTGGCCGCTTCTGCTGCCGCTCCGAGAGAAGCTTTAAAAAGAGAAAGAGGTCGGGCCGTGCAATAGAGAAGGAATGAGAAGGAATGGCACAGACTTTTTCAAGCCAGGCGTCCATTCCGGTGCTCGAGGTAGAAGCGGTAGAAGGGGGTTGGCGCTGGAGTCTTATGCCTTCGAGCATTGCCAGGTCTTGCCGCGAGCATTGCTGGACCATGGAAATGTCAGCAGTCGTTCATGGTCGTTCTAAAGCTCAAAGGCCCTCTTGATGCCAGGCTGCGTGTCCTTGATGATGTGCTCAGTGAGCGAATCTGAAATCGGAATGTCGAACAGCATCAGACCGGTCGAAAGGTACAAAGATCGAAGAAAGAAAAGCTCGATTTTTTTTAAATGTGTGTCTGGATTGAATGTACTAAATATGTTACTCGTCTATATTATGTTTCTTGATTGCTCTTCTTCCTTGTAGTCTCTTTTCGGGTGTGACTCTTGAGTCGACTTCGCGAACGGTTCTTGCGGAGTCGCATCGAAGCGAAGGCCATCGCACCGGGCCACCTCGTTGAATCGAAGGCCATGCAAAACATCAGAATGCGTCCCCTGGTCTGGATTCCGCGGATTGGGTAGGACAGACTCCCCTGGTCTGGATTTCCTTTGTTCGACTGTTCAGCTCATTCCACAAGGTGACCATGCCCCACTCATGACCTAAAAATCCTCAATAAGCTTCAAAGACCTCGGAAGACAGGTTACGGCAGAGGGTTCCCGCCCACCTCGCGCTGAGACGCCACGGAATTTTTGAACAGAATGGACGACCGACAGGAGGTCAACCTACCCTAGTGAAGGGGCATCGATCTTGCTGTTAGCAGTACCTTTTTTAGTTCGTCAACAATACGACTAGCATATGTGCCATGACTCACAGCCTCAGCCATGACTCAGTGCGGCACCTGACACAAACCGCAACTCTTTGCGTCCGGCTTTGCTCCAGGACATCTTGGGCCTCGCCGACGTGTGAGCACCCCAGCGCTTTCCCTGGTCGGCGTGACCTTTCCAGGGCAGGAAACATGCTGTACAGGAACCATGAAAGATGTCTATTTCATGGCTGTTTCCGAAGATGACATGGGGAGGGATGATACTCTCCTTACCCTGTTAACTGTTCTCAGGACCCGTTCGGGTGCCAGCTTCACGCTCCACACCACGGGCCGGGTCGGTCGCTCCGAACGCTCGTTCGGTCGCTCCGAACCCGCAGGTTACGCTCGGATCAATCCACGGAGTGCCAACAAGCTGAAGGCCAGACCGAGGTGTTAGGAGTTGTTTCTCCATACATTTTTTGGGATCTGGTTGGTGAATGTTGCAGAGTGACATCTTCAAGTCACTGCGAAGCACCAAATGTTCTTGCTCAAGTTTAAAGAAGTATGAAGAGAGCGTTCGCACGGCGCTTGCAGCTGCAGTTTGACTCCAAACTCAAAATCAGACAATCTAGGTGCTCCGCTTGCAACCCGCAGGTTGGCTGAAAGAACAAACCCAACCGTGACCCACGGCCGGGTGGCAACCACCGAAGCACCGCATGCAGTATCCTCCAGTCACTCATCGCATCGACGAGCCGCGGACCGCGGAGGCTTGGAAGTGTGTGGCCTGGGCCTTCGTCCTTCGGATGGCGTGTGGTGGCGCGGGCCCATCAAACAGACTCCCAAGGCCGGAGCCGTCGCGGCCATCGTGGCGCCGTTTTGGCGCTCGCTCGTTGAAGGGTGGCAACGGTGGTTCTTTTTATGCGGTGCCCGTTGTGTTTTGTTGGGGAATTGGATGGTTTGGGGCGGGCTGCAAGGTGGGTGCGGGTTGTGGCAGTTTGTTGAGGGGATGTGATGTTCTTTCCTGCCGGACAAGCACTTTTCGACGGGATTGGACTCGGACTCAGGGGGATGGACATTGACAACAGCTATGGATCCACACAAGCAGCACAGAAAGCAGCATCAACACGTTTTGAGTCTCTTTCCGAACAAGTGGCTTCGTTTAGCGGTTAGACTCCGGACATGGGGAGTCTCAAAGAGTCCCTCAGCGGCTGGTGCGAGAGGGTCAAAGGCCATCAACGAGCGATGAAGATCATCAAGCAACTTGATGATCAACTTGTTCACGAAGCATATCCACTTGTTAGCCTCACCAGTCACCCAGAATTCCCGTTGAGAGCAATCATGAACATCAACCTGGTCAAGCTGCCCTCAGGATGTTCAATGTAGGATGCTGAGACACACGATGGTGCGCACCACTAAGCAGTATCATCCACCATCTATCTCCATCTCCACCCGTCCCGACGGAGACCGACGGAGATCGGCGAGTTGTGTGCCATAGATATCCATCGTCTCCGTCACCGTGGTTCAACCGATTCCATCTTCCTTTTCATCGAGCAGCACAGGAACAGGCACATCTCCCAGACACTCGGACTGCCATATATGCCGAGCCCCCCTGGCACCGGCCTGGCATCTATACCAGTCCCATGGAGCGGATGGTTGGGTATGGTTCGGTATGGTTCGATCTCGGTGTTCCGAACGTTCAACACTCCACACACGCTCAGTCTCCGCGGAGCTTGCCGGATCTGCCCATGCGCACGGCCTCCTTAGGACCGGGGCGTGGTCGCGAAGCGACGAGCGGTGTGGGACCGGGGCGTCGTCTTACACCGAGCGGGGCGACCTGCTCGGTGTTTTGGGACAGGTCAAATGACACGGTGGGGTTCGGTATCCCAGACGTTCCATGGGACTGGTATACATGCCGATCAGGCCAGGGGTGGTGCCAGGGGGGTCAATGGGGCGGCATATATGGCATACATGGAGTGTCTGGGTATTGTAGAAGAGAAAGGTGGCATACATGGAGTGTCTGGGTATTGTAGAAGAGAAAGGTGACCCAAGTGTGGGGTTTCTGGTGGGCTCAGTTGGAGCTTTCTCTAGATTTGACAGAGCAAGATCGAGGGAGATAGAATTTGCAGAGTCCTAAAAAGAACCTCATTGACTGGCAAAGTTCATCCCAAAAGAATGTGCGCCAGGGGCTCTATGTGTGCAGGGGCTCCAGCACAAGTCAGTCCACCCAAAGGTGCCCAGATAGGGTTCCTACGCGCAATGAAGCACAGGATTCAGGATGGTTTGGAAGCATGCCCTTACACACCAGAGGGCGTATGTTTCTTTCGCGGAACAGTCACCATCCAATGGTGCGATCCAACTTGTCTCAAGCGTAACGAAGCGATCAGGCGATTCCAACACCATCATGCCATTTTGTGGTGAGATGACGGCTTGTTTTGAGCCCTTTTGCTAATTATATGCGTGGTCTGACCCACAGAATTCGGCTCCCTACCCAGGAAGTCCGTAGAGGGGATTGGTTGCCCCACTAATTCAGCAAGAACAGGTGGAAAAGGTCAGCCTCTATGTTCCAGGATGTTCCAGGGATCTCCAGCATTGAGAGTCAGGTCCATATATATATATATATATATATGTCCATATACCTTTTCAATACTTATTGTGTGCTTCTTTCTTTCTCTCAGCGCGCTATAAAGAGCGCAGCAGCTCCGTCTCACTCATGGAAACAATTGGGGGCTTGTATCTCCAAGATGGGCCAGAAGTGGGAAGCAAGCAAGTGAAGCAGATTCTACTCCCATTCACTCCAAGTCCGGACTTCGTCTCAAGGTCCAAGACTCCCCTCTGGAAACCAAAGAAAGGAATCCTAGCATTAGGAGACCCATCCAAGCAGGACGCAGATGTCATGACTCGATTCCTTCGCGCTAGGATTTGGGTCCTTCCACAAGCCGAAAGAGACCCATCTCAGTGCACAGCTGGTGGGACGCCTGAAAGTGGTGCTGTTCTTTTTTGACCTTCATCGTCACAGAGGATGCTTTGATAGACTACTCCGAGCTGCTCAAAAAGTCACGGGCGGATAAGCAGAACCGTTAACAGATGGTTTTGGTTGGCGGTTTTCGTTCCGAGGTTCCCATGGGCCAAACGTTGAGGAGCTGAAAAAAATCCACTGTTACTGGTAGTGGGATACACCCAATGGACAACATGTTGGCACCTGGCCTGTTGAGATTGTCAGGTTTCCCAACTCCCTTGGCCATATGTCCAAGCCTGCTGCGCCGTTCTTCTCCTTTGCCCCAAGCTCAGAGCGCTCCGAGTGTCTCGGAACGGGGTCCGAGCTCATGCGCAGAAAAAAGCGCCCAGTGGCTCGTGAAATGGACGAGGACCAAGCACAGAGCTAAGCACATGATATAATTACGTCTTGTGCTCAGACGTTGACTCCTGTGCTTCTCTCCGCGTTGAAAGAATCTCGGACTTGAATGAAAGAAGAAACACATGACGACGGTGACTCAGGGACCATGAGGGGTTCTGGTGACGCCTGACCGTTCCGAGGCTCGGTGGCGATGCTGGGCACGACGTGCTCGATGTGGTCCAATCAATGCTGTGATCAATGATCCAGGGATCTCCATGTGACCATGTAGACTCTTGATTCTAAAAACAGAAACACTTGGCTGTTTTCATGGTCAAACCTCTTCATGATCTTCATATGTTTTCGAACATGCTTGACATATATCTTATCAGGTGTCTAAGAATCATGGAATCTATGACAAAAAGACCCCACAGGACCCACGCCGTAAACTCCGGCACTGCCGGGGTCGTGTGAAGTTCACACGAACCCGGCGGGTTTCGTGGTGGAACTTCACGGTGCGGAACGTGCGGAACTTCACTGGGTGACCGTGGACAGAAAACGGAGATGGAAGTCTGAGATAGTTGATCAGACGCTTGAAATGTTTGGAAATCTTTGGAACATGCCCAACGTCATGATTCTTTTTCAAAAACTCACTTTTTGAGAAGGATTGAGCTCCCAAAAGAGCTTAGGATGACCCCGTGTTGCTCGTAAGCCCTGGATGGACAGAAAGGGATACCATTGAATCATATTGAATCAGTTGGAAGTCCGGCACTTGAAGCACCGGATGGTGCCTGTGCAGAGATGCATTCTCTTCCTTCCACCAAGGGTAGGGAGAAAACCTACCTTGGTCGGTCCGAACTTACCCCTGACTCAGTCAGTAAACAGTTCTCACATTTGTTCAAAAAGGCCTCCAACTGAACCATCATCATCCACTGTTACACGTCATAGGGGAGACATCTGGGGAGACCCAAGATATCCATAGAATATGTCCATGAAACGCTAAGAGTTTGGCGATCCATGGCGTGCGTGAGCACTGTTGATCCGTCCCAAGGGTTTCCAAGCCGTCCAAGCTCGTCCGGCTTTGGGAGTTTGGTTGCGCTTCGCAGCCGAAAGAAGCACCGGTCATGGCACCGATTGGACGGGGACGAACGACCACGGAACATGAAGCAGAAGGAACGACTGCCAGACATGGTCCCGGTTTTGACTAGCCATGTGGCGCGAGGGGATTGGCCATGTTTCTCTTTGAGTTCTCTCTCCCTCTCCCTCTCCCTCTCCCTCTCCCTCTCCCTCTCCCTCTC